AATAAATTTTATTTATATCCCACCCTCCCCAGCCGAAGCCAGGCTCAGGGCGGCTAACAACACTAAAATAGTGCAACATTATAAAAACATTATAAAAATTAATTAAAATCAAAATTGATGGCAACCATAAACTAAAGTTTTGTAAAGATTGCCAAAGGAGGGAGTCAGGCTGCGCCCTGACCAAAGGCCTGGTGGAACAGCTCTGTCTTGCAGGCCCTGCGGAAAGATGTCAAGTCCTGCAGGGCCCTTGTGACAGAGTGTTCCACCAGGTTGGAGCCGCAGCCGAAAAATCCCTGGCTCTAGTTGAGGCCAGCCTAACCTCTCTGTGGCCTGGGACCTTCAAGATGTTTTTATTTGAAGACCGTAAGTTCCTCTGTGGGGCATACCAGGAGAGGCGGTCCCCATTATTGTTTCCCCTTTTTGCCTCTGGTTTGGGACTTGTGGGCTATGACATTGCCTGCAAAGCTGCCAGCTGTCAAGCCTTACTTTGGTAGTTGTGCAGAAGTTGCCATTTAAGCAGGTGCAGCTTTCAACCTATTCCTGCATGAGAAGTTACCTGTCTCAAACATCTTGCTCCTTAACAAATGTTAAAAGAACAGGAGCCCAGCAGATCTTGTGGAAATAATCCTTGTGGGACATCTTCAGGAGAAGAAAAGCCTAAGGATCAAACCCTACACAAATCCGGAGTGGAGTCCGTAAGGCAGTTGGATGGCAGCTTGCATTCCTCCTTCCGGCAGCTCCTGCAACCAAGCTGGTGCCAAACATATTGCTCTGCTTTCCTGAATATTCCTGCATTGCAAGGGGTTCGTCTAGATGATCCTCAGGGTTCCTCCCAATTCTATGATAAGGTTTACCAGAATGATATGGGAAGAAATGAGCTCCAAAATGTGTCCAACATATACTTCTCATGTTTTTCAGCTTCACCCCTAAATGAGAGGAGTTGGAGTGCATGTACAGCAGCCATACAGTTTAAAACAAAGGGTTTCAGAAAGCTTTTTAGTTTCATTTTGCAAGTACAAACCCTCAGGATAGAATTTCTCCATTTTACACCAGAATGTGGAATGCCTTCTTGAATGCCATCTGTTCAGAAGCACCTAGATTAATTGCCTTTAACATACTTTAATCCTTGTTTTATGCTCACCTTCAGGCTGGTTAAGGGTAAAAAAAAAAGTGTGATCTTTCCCCACAGTCCTTCAAGATATACATGCTTATTGATCAAGTGATGATTCTTGTAATTGTCACTATGAAATAGAGGGCAAGAGAGTAGTTTTTCACAGATGAATAAATTCAAAGCAAAAAATAAAAAAAGGTTCCATCCTAAGTATGTGCCTTGATTTATATGGAGCAGAAATGTTAAAGGTAAAACATAGTAGCCTGAAGTTCTAGTTGCTACTTTGCATCTAAAACTATTAGATTTCATTCCTTTCATGTTATGTGGAGCATCGTGTGCCATGGTTTGCTGTCCTTCATCTCCTTCATTTTAAAAATAAAATAAAAAAGCCTTCCTCTTGCAATATTTCCCATGTCTTTAAATGCTAACAAAATTTTTAAAAGGAAAGTATACCACCCTCATTCTTTTGATTTGCATTTCACCCGCTTTGCAGAAAAGTTAAACTCCACAGGTAACTAACTGCAGCTATGGCATGCTCCAATCTGTAGAATAAATGAAGGTCCTTAGGCTGTCTGTTGTAACTTCCTTATTATCAGGCTCACACAGCTGAAATGGAAATAGGATGATAGCAGGGAGAGGAGAAGCTATCCAGGACTGCAGAAGTAGCCAAAGCTGGCAGCCTGAATACCGCAATGAGGTCTGCAGGCTGATCTGAGGACTGCAATGAAGCAGGCAGTTATTCCATCACTGTTGTCACCTTGAACCTTGTAGCACACAGCAGTGTCATGGGTGTTATTTGGCATATGAGAAAGGGAAAGTGGGAATAGACTAGGTTATTACATGGCATGACATAAGGCTGCATTTGGGAAAGCATATTGCATGATATGGAATAAGAAAATGGCTTCCATCAAGCAAAATTGACAAAAAACAACAACCATAGAGCTTGGAAAAATAAGAAGGGGACACCAGAGCTTTGCACCCCAACCCTTACTGCCCATCTACATTTTTTAAACATTGGACACACTCAACAGATTCAGCTGAGCAAATGATACGTATCTCCAGTAACAGATACAGAGAATCTAGAAAGCTATCACTGATGCCAAGCCTACACCTCTGGGCTTACCAATGAAGTCATCTTGTTAGTGCAAAGACTTCCACCTTCACCGCCTTCCTCTTCTTTTCCTCTCCCTGCACACCACCCCAAATCTGCTTGTGGCTCCCCAGATGTTGTTGGATTCCATATCTCCTCAGTTCAGCCAATGAAGATGGAACAAACTTGTTTTCTCCAGCTCTGGAGGGTAGGACTCAAACCAATGGCTTCAGGTTACACGAGAGGAGATTCTGACTAAACATCAGGAAGGACTTTCTGGCAGTAAGAGCTGTTAGATAGTGGAACAGACTCCCTTGGGAGGTTGTGGAGTCTCCTTCCTTGGAGGTTTTTAAGCAGAGGATGGATGGCCATCTGTCATGGATGCATCAGCTGTGATTCCTGCATTGTAGAGGTTTGGACTAGATGACCCTTGTTGCCCCTTCCAACTCTACAGTTCTTTGATTAGAGGCAGCAGACACTGTGGTCCAATAACACCTGGAGGACCACAGGTTCCCCATCCCTGATTTAGAAGATGCTTTTTCAGCTGAGGAGGAGGGGACTGTCTGCTAGGCTTGTGGTATAAATAAAAAAAGTAACCGTTTCATGTGTCTCTTTGCCCTGTCTAGCTTTTCTGGGCATTCAGTGATCCTGTCACATCTGTCAGAGGTAATAATGTTTTTAAATTCCCTTACAGAGAAGGTTACACTTCACCACAAACCATGGCTGACTCTGGATAATGCTATTAGAGGAGAATTGACATAGAATACATTAGAGTGCCACTTGGCCTATTGTCATTCCCTGCCATGCCCAGGGCTGTTAATCCAAGAAATCAGCAGCCAGGTCAGGTGCTTTGTGCTGATTTCTTTCACAATCAACAAAAAGAAAAGCGATATTGGCCTGCCTGTGTACCCCCCTTTCTTCCTCACTGCCATTTATTTATGTAATCGCAAAATATCCATCATTGTAATGGGCATGATGTGATTGGAGGAAGGGGCTGGTGGGTGTAAATTATCAGCGTATGTTGTGCTCATAGAAATGCACTGTAAGTGCACCTGGCCCCCCAGTGTCAGGGGAGATGAGGAGGTTTTGCTATCTATAATGTCTCTAATTGCAGCCTTTGCCTTTTCTTTCCCCTGTAGGAATGAATTGTTACAGTTATTGGAAGAACGTCCTTTGTTAAGGGGGCTATTTGTTCACAGCCCAGGGTGGTTAGCTGGTATTTTCTCAGTTGAAGGGGTGGGGAGGGAGAGAGAGAATGTGAGCCACCCCAGCAGCTACAGAAGATTTCGGCAAAATCATTGAAGAAAGGATAAACTACGGTAATAGCACATCCCTCACCTTTCAAGATAGGCACCCTCTTTCCCGAACATTAAATGGTGCATTGCAGAATTCCTGTGGGCTGCTTGACAAATTCCTTCCTTCCTTTGCATGTGGTCAAAGAGACTATAGGAGAGAGAGGGTTTTCTTGAAGTTCTGAGCAAGCTGATAAAGACACCTTCCCAAAGAATCCTTTTATCGTTCTTCCAACACCCATCCACCTACCATCTTCCTGATATCTCCATGGCCCTGCTTTCCTTTTTCAGGTGCTTCATCTCAATTTTCCATTGACACAACCTTTAATTTGGAAAGAGTTTTTTGCGGGGGTTTTTTGCACACCTCCTGTCAGGGCCTGTGATTATTATAAGCTCATCTGCCTAAAGGGACTGGCTGATTTATCTGCTTTTTCTCTCCTGATAAAGGCCCATAGCAAAAGCTCCCAGCTGCCAAGATAATATTTAAATAGCTTCTTTCATACACACTGTGTGCTTTTGGAATTTGATGTGTGCGCTCTTCACTCTCTCACTCTCTGTCTCATATATTTCCCTCTAGATGTACAGGGAAAATCCACACATTTCATGTGGTCCTGGCAGCCATCAGAGTAGACATCAGCTTCCTGCTGGGCTCCGCATTCCGCTACTAAGAAAAATCCTGTTTTGTATGAGAGGAGAAACGTTCCACACAAATCAATGCGTTTTGGGGTGTTTTGAAGGTGTTCTCCTACCCAGAGGTCATTTTGTGTATCTCCTATTTAAAGACGCGCAACGATTATTAGACAAGTTGCTTAGGGCATCGCATTGTAATGCTCAGCATGCTATGCCTTTTGGCGCAATCTTCTGCATGTTTACTTGGACGTAAGCCTTACTTTCTTCCTTGGGACTTACTCTTGTCCCTGGTAAGTAGAATTGTGGCCTCAAGCTGCCAGCAAGTAAAGGAGAAAGAAAAGGGAATGGTTTATGCAGATGGCTGTGTGGCACTACTGCATATGTGGTGAAGGTGAAGCAGGCCCATTAATATCAGATTCCTGCAATCTTTGCATGAGAAAAAAGGTTACATACAGAGATGCGCATATGTGCCCCACACCACATGCCCTGGCAAATGCATGGGGGATGCTTGCTAAGAATTCTACCATTTGAACAGTAGTTCCACAGCAAAGTCTGTGCACAAAGTGTATAAACTTTGTAGAATGATGCTTGGCATGGAGACATTGGATAGAGAAAAGTTCTTCTCCCTCTCTTATAGCACTTGAACTCGTGGGCATGCAATGAAGCTGAATGTTGGAAGATTCAGGACAGCTAAAAGAAAGTACTTCTTCAGGCAGGATTTCTGACTCCCAATAGTTTCTCTCTCTACCCTGAACTATAATGTTTAAATAAAGAAGGGGGAATAATGAGGGGGCAGGGTGGGGAGTTGTATAGAAAGACCATAAAATCCTAGTACTGTACTCAAAACAAATTCCTGGACTCAACTGTATGTTACTTGGTGTGTATAGCTCAGTTGGCTAGAGCTTGGTGCTGATAACACCAGGGTTGCAGGTCCAATCCCCCTATGGGAAAGTTTCACATTCCTGCATTGCAGGGGGCTAGACTAGATGATCCCCAGTGTCCCTTCCAACTCTACAGTGCTATGAGTCTTTGTCTTTTGCACCTGATTGGTGGACCTCAGATTCTAGTTGAACAAAGTTGAACCTGCAAGGCCAACCAGAGTTAGAACTTTTGTTTGGGACTTGAGTGAAGGCTTCTTGTGTGGATCTAGACATGACACTTGCAGTAAACAAGATCCAAGCCAGCCCATTTTTAACTTCTCAATCAGCATAATCCTGGGCATGTCTCCTCAGAAGTACCTCCCATTCTGTTTCATGCGGCTTACTCCCAGAGGGCTGGGTACATTTTTGCAACCTAAGAAATGCACCTCCTTCTTTACTTAGTGAGGACAAAGTACCTTGGTGCATGTAATCTGCATAAGGTGATTCATGCCACCCCAGTCTGCTAAAAGCATGTGTGCCTGAATCCATTTGTAAAGATTGCAATGAGATCTTAAAGGTAAAGGTGAAGGGGACCCCTGACCATTAGGTCCAGTCATGGCCGACTCTGGGGTCGGGGCACTCATCTCGCTTTACTGGCCGAGGGAGCTGGTGTACAGCTTCCGGGTTATGTGGCCATCATGACTAAGCCACTTCTGGCGAACCAGAGCAGTGCATGGAAATGCCGTTTACCTTCCCGCCGGAACAGTATCTACTTATTTACTTGCACTGCGTGCTTTCGAACTGCCAGGTGGGCAGAAGCTGGGACCGAGCAACGGGAGCTCACCCCGTCACGGGGATTCGAACTGCCTACCTTCCAATCGGCAAGCCCTAGGCTCAGTGGTTTAGACCACAGCGCCACCCACATCCCCAGTAGCAAATGCACTGCCAAGCTGCTCAGCTGCTTGCAATTTCTCTTCTAAAGGCTAATGATTCCCATTACGACTCACAATTAGATCAAATCTAAGTGTCTAGACAAGCAAACAACATCTCCATGCTGCTTGACTGATCAGAAATGAGGAGGTAGCACTTGGAATGATCAAGGAAAACACTCGCCAAACATCTAGCAGGACTTCATCAAAACATAGCTGCTTCCTCTACCCCTGAAACAAGCTGACATAAAAAAGTCCTATGAAATCAAGCTCCAAATATGATTGATCCTCAAGGGTCATTAGTCTGTGGACGTCCAGCAGCGAAGACATGCTGATTATCAGAGCAATAATCCTAATTAAAATGGAAATCTTGCATAACTGCTGGTTTTTATTTGCCTGTTAGAATAAAGAGAGTGGAACATTTAATGTTCATAGTCATATACAGACACTAATGAACTTTTAAGGTAAGCTAAAGGTAAGTTCATATAAGCAATCCTTTCCAGGGTATTTTACAGTCTCTTGCTGAAATCAGTTGGACTAAAAATCATTTAACTGTGGTTGGATCATCCCCTTAAGTTTAAGGCAAAGTGGAAAAATGTATTTGCTTATCCACCGTGGCCTTGTACCCATTTCAAAGCATTCTAGGGCCTTGTTGGAAACAGTTCATTAAGTTAATCAGAATAAGGCAGATATGTCTTTGATGCGTGATGTTTTTTGTCACTCATGGTGGATATTTTGGTTGCACAAAAGTAGTGATCTAAAATCAGAAATGCAACCTCTAGAATAACTAACTTTTATATAGATGGGCAGAGCAATTCTAAACCACCACCCCAGCCATCAACTGGGAGTGGGCAGGGAGTTGGGGTATGATTGCACTCTCAGATCCTGTTGCATTCCTTTTGACTTATATCCCAGACATTACCTATGGAGATATACAAGATGTTGTGAGACATTATCACATCAGCTAGAATCTTGTTTGTGAAATACCAGAGGCTGGCAGAAAACCTAAACATGTCTGAATAGGAAAGCAAAGTGCATGAATGTGCTGTTTTGTCAACATTAATTCGCCACACAAAACCAGAGAAGGAAGACTGCGCTGCAGTGTTTTTTAACGGAACTGGCAACTCTCTATTGTTAACTGGAGAGCAAATGTATAATTATCTGTAAATTCTGAACATCTATTTGATTTATTATGACAGCTCAAATGAAATTCCCTGATATATTAGTATTTACGTTCCTAAGATGTGAATTTACTGTTTGGGTGGAACTCAGTGTTGCACCACGTTGAATGTTCCATCTGCACAAACAAATCAGCTTGTCAGACACACACACACACACACACACACACACACACACTTCTGGGGGTTCTCCTAACCTTCCAAGCCAATTTTGGAGGGTGTGGGGAGCACAGGAGGAGGAAGAGGACGGAGGAAAGCCCTGTTGTGCAAGTGGAACCCCTTGCCCAGGGCTTTCATTGGTGGGGTTTGTTAGGCAAATCCTGCCCTTTATGTTTTAGTGTTTTGCATATTTGAAAGACAGAATTATAGAACAACAGAATCGTAGAGTTGGAAGGGACCCAGAAGGTCATCCAGTCCAACCCCCAGCAATGCAGGAATCTCAAATAAAGCGTCCATGATAAATAAAGTAAAACACTATAAATAAAATCCAATGAAATGATTAACTTTGTGAACCTGTATAGAAAAAAAAATTAAAATCAAACATCTTTTAAGAACCAAACAGGTAGTAGTGCTCTTGAGATTTGGAGGTGCTGATTATGTAGCCTAATCGCCCCCCGAGTGAGCCTGAATGACTGCTCCTGCTCATTTCCCTCCACAAAGAAAAATGAAAGGGCCAGTCGCTCCCATTAACAGGGTAAAGACTACGAAGAATGATGATTATGGATTGCCTCTCACAGTTTGTCTGCAACGTACACACACCCCATTGCCAGGATCAATAGAGGTAGAATTTTCTGCATGTAAATTCAAAGAACAAAAATGTGGGAGTCATAAAGCCACGGTAAAGGCTTGTAATATTGCAGGGTGCCCCCTGACCTCGGCTGACCAGCACTCTGAGCTTTACAATGTATTGGAATGTATTGACCTTAAACGGAGGTGTGTTTCCTCTGGGCAGTGATGACCCTATATGGTGATGGGGGCAATAAAAGCCTTGACCGGATGAGGTAACGTGAGACATTGGCAAACGGCCATGCGGCTGGAGAGAGACAAAGGATAATAAAAAAGTTACCAGAGGAGAGGGAAGTTCGAAAGGAGCTGCTCATACCATCCTGAAAATATTGCTGGCTCTCTGTGTCTTTATTTTATGCTAAACTGCGCCACTTGTAACGGCTGGCTCCGACACAAAAATCCACACTGGCCCACCTGAGAGCTCAGCATTAACTCAGCCCTATGGGATGATGGGTCCTCTGAACCAGGTACATATTTCAGCACTTCTTTAAGTTCCATACATTGAAGCCTCTTTGCTAGGGCTGCTGTCTAACCATGAATGGATTCAGAACTGAGCAGCAAGAGGTGGCCCTACCATCCTTCCTTATCAGCTCCAATAGTTCCTTCTCCCCCTGCCGATGCGCATCACAAAACCTTTTTCTGAAAAAATGTACAAAATACGCTAGCCATTTAGGACAGCATCCTGTCAGCCACCGAGACACCTCTGGGACTGTTGTTGGCATCTGTCTGTGTCGGGAGACAATGGAGGAGTGCACCTTTAGGGGTGAAGACAAACTGCTGGAAGGTTATATTGCCAGCTGTGGCTGTAGAGACTGATATGGGAGAGACATGTTTTGTTGCAGCTGGGGCAGATGAAGGCATCCGGTTGTGCCGCTGCAGGTGCACCATGCCATTTCGTCTCTCTATGCTCCTCCCAGTAGTCATTCCTCTTCTGGTCACTGCTGTGTATACACAGCCTGACTGTCTGTCTCCAGGCACTGTGGTCCTCTGCAAGGGATTCCCACACAGCGGGGTGATGCTGCCAGCCTTCATGCCATGTTTACAGATAAGGCAGAGTTGGTTTGCCAACAATCCTGGTGTCTGAAGCCAGCTCCCTGTAAAGCACATCCTCAGGGGATCCTGTCATCTTCCATTTTATGGACATGGCCAAGCCAGCATAGATGTTGCTGAGAAAGAAGCAAAGGTACAGCCCTTCCTTTGTTGTTTATCCCTAGGCAGCATATGGTATTCAAGGCACAGTGTCTCTGAAGATAGGGCAGGGATGGGGGGACCTGGTTCTCTCCCAATGGCGTTGGACTACAATGACTATCATCTCTGTCCATTGGCCATAGGGGCTGGGGCTGATGGGAACTGGAGTCCAGCAACATCTGGAGGGCCCCAGCTTCTCTATCTATCTCTTGACATAGAAGTTTAATTTAACTGTCTTCCATGAATATGTCTAATCTCTCTCTCATTCTCTCTCTCTCTTTCGCTCTCTGTGTGTGTGTCACACACACATTGATATGCATACATAACTATGGAAGGAAGTTTGTGCTCCTAGCAATCCAGCCATTCACAATCATAGGTGCCAACTTGAACAAAATATTGCCCCTCCCCACTTACCCTCTTACACTTCTCCAGCGGTCCCTGCACTTCTGTGAAGCACACCTCTGCTGCATGCAACTGGATGCAAGTGTAAGGAGTGTGTGCAGGAGCCAGGCCCTGTGACCTGTAGGGCTTTGCAGAACTGGGGCTTTCCTAAGTTCGTTCTGAAGAGGCAAGGCGCGGCCGCACAGGTGAGGCCGGTTGGTAACTCACAGCACCTGGTGGCAAGAGCCGGGAAGAGACATAAGGTCAGCATTTCCCTTTGGCTTCCTGCCTTGCTGTGTTTGGCTTCTTGACTCCTTGCTTTCTGATCCTCGGACCCTTGACTCCTGGTTTCCTGACCCTTGGCTTCCTGATTCCTGGTTTCTGGACTCCCGTTCCTGCTCCCACCCCGCCGTCTTGCCCCCGGTCCTGACATCCACCGCCAGGACTTCGACCGCCCAAAAAACGGACCGTGACAGCAAGCCTCCCCTCTGTGGTGCCCATCTGCTTACCTCTCACCCCTACCCACCTGCACACAATAAATTTCTGCCTGCTTGCCCGCTCACCTCTCCTACCAGCCTGCCCGAATGCCTCTCCCCACATGCTCAGAAAATTTAGGGTTGCCATATGTCCTCTGTGGTGTAGTGGTTAAGAGCGGTACACTCGTAATCTGGTGAACCGGGTTCACGTCTCCGCTCCTCCACATGCAGCTGCTGGGTGACCTTGGGCTAGTCACACTTTTCTGAAGTCTCTCAGCCTCAATTACTCACAGAGTGTTTGTTGTGGGGAAGAAAGGGAAAGGAGATTGTTAGCCACTTTGAGACTCCTTAGGGTAATGATAAAGCGGGATATCAAATCCAAACTCCTCCTCTTCTTCTTCTTCTTTCCCATGGGTAAGTAAAATGAGTCGTCGTAGCGATCCATAGTTAAAAGTAAAAGTTGGCAAATGTGTCATCTTTTTTGGTCTTCAAAATATGGCAACTTATGTAAACAGAACTCCAACAGCCCAAACTCCTGTTGCAGAAATGTTTGTGCTTGCCTTGTGCAGCAGTGTGGTTATTTGTTTGTTTATTCAATTTATATCCTAGGGTTCTTCCTTAATGAGCCCAAGGCAGCCCACACATTGCTATAATCATTATCACTATTATAATTGTAAATCATTCTAAAAGCAGTTATTCTAAAAACAGTGATCTCAAAGTTGCCAGGAACAATGTATTTCAGCCATCAAATGCCCGGGTAAACAGGAATGGTTCCCCCCCCCCCAAATTCCTGTCCTAAGTTTTATCTGTTAGGCTTTTATAACAATAAAAAGGCCCATTTGGTGAACCATTCCAGTAATCAGAGGATGGGGCAGGAGGAGCTTAACTACTCCAAGGTACAATTCATCCTTCCAATTTAAAGAGAGACAGAGAGAGAAAGAGATGCATATATCTTCAGCTCAGACTTTTCTTCATCACAATAGTGCCTTGGGCTAGGTTTCTACCAAATCTCACTTTTCTAGCCAGTATGGGGATAGTTTAACCATCCTTGAATTTGTTACTCCTGGCTTTGAAGTAGAAATAAGATTTCCCTTTTCCCATTTCCCTTCTGCATAGTTTCCCAGCAAGTCTTTCTTTCTTGTCCACCCAATTTATTCCAGGCAGGCAGCAGCTGACCACAGGAGGTCCAAGATTACAGAAAAACTGGGATCATTAAACAGCTGAGATGCCTGAGCTAAACATGCATCTTAAAGTGCAATATTTCAGGGTAGGAAACTAGCAGTGGGAACTGACAGGCATTTAGAAGACAGCTGGGACCCCCAAGCTGTAAATGGATGCGGATGAAACCAAATAGTGACCACTCAGGTAATGAGTGGAACTGGCTGGCATGGAGGTTAGAGGCTGGTGTCAGGTGTTGTGCCTCTTCAGTCCTTAGAAACTGTTGAGTACAGTTGAGTTCAGTATTCCCTTACGTGCAAAGTATCCCTGTAATCAATTTAATTAATACTTTGTTCCATCTCCAGTGTTGGTATCAATTTCTTACCTAAGCCTTTTATACCAAGCTACTAAGAGGTTTTGAAAATCAGCCCTGGGTGCTCACTGGAAGGACAGAGCCTGAAGCTGAGGCTCCAATACTTTGGCCACCTCATGAGAAGAGAAGACTCCCTGGAAAAGACCCTGATGTTGGGAAAGATTGAGGGCACAAGAAGAAGGGGACGACAGAGGATGAGATGGTTGGGCAGTGTTCTCGAAGCTATGAACATGAGTTTGACCAAACTGCGGGAGGCAGTGGGAGACAGGAGTGCCTGGCATGCTCTGGTCCATGGGGTCATGAAAAGTCGGACATGACTAAACGACTAAACAACAACAACAACAACAGGAGGCTTTGAAGGAATTCAGAGGGAACAGATGGCAGCAGGAAAGAGTTACACGAAGGAACTCTGAGCTGTAGTAGCAGGAAGTTCCCTGGACCTTGAAATATTTTAAAAATTGGAAGCTTGTGTCTGTACAGCTTGAGACTGTGGGAACTGTTTTTCTATAGTTGGTCACGGCAGAGGGAACCATTTTTCTATAGCAGGGTGGTCCAATGCATGGCCCCAGGTCCACATGCAGCCCTCAAGGCCTTTTTTGCAGCCCTCGGCAACATTTGATGCCCCCCGCCCACACTTCCTTCCCAAAGGCAAGTAAGTAAGGCACTTACCTGGAAGGCGATATGAGGCCTCCTTCCCAAATCCTAGTTAGCACTTTCCCAGCTTTGGGGAGGAAGTGGGAGGGCTCTGGGACCCTGCCAGAGTCTTGTGCCTTCCCAAAGCCCAGCACCGCCCTTAATCAGCTTTGGGAAGGCAGCTCAAGAGCTGGTGGGGTGTCAAATTTTGGCCTCGCTCTCCCCCACAACTGCACAAGGCCATGTGTGGCCTGCAGGTTCCGTGTCAATGTCCTCTTGCAGCCCACTTGGCATGAATAGTCGGACTGCCAGACTCTATAGCAGTGGTTCTCAACCTGTGGGTCCCCAGATGTTGTTGGACTACAACTCCCATCATCCCTGAGCTCTGACCTTGCTAGCTAGGGGTGATGGGAGTTGTAGTCCAACAACATCTGGGGACTCACAGGTTGAGAAAGGCTGCTCTATAGTATCTTCAAGAGATGAAGCTCTTTTAGATCTCTCTCTTTGATTTAGGGCTTTCTTTGTGCACCCTGCACATATCCACACCCACAGCAATTCTTCAACCGGGCTGCTTGGTTTTTCTATCCTTTCCCCCATTGGTTTACTGCTAGAATTGCTGGACATGTTCATGCTGGACCATTGGAGGCTTGGGAGCAGTTCACACATTTATGACCATTTGATAACTTGCTTAGAGGCTTCAACCATGGCACTTTACTGCTAGACTTGTTGCTGGACACAGAGAGCCATATCGCTGCAGGGGTCTCACTCACCCACAGGCGTTTGCTGTTCAATTACTGACGAAGCAACCAGGGCTAGGCATCTGTTTTCCTGTGATGATTGAAAAGTAGAGCACACAGCTCTGAAGCACATCCAGCCAACTGTGCAAACGTGATTGGGTCGAGTGTCCTTTACGTGCCCATATATTCCATTACTCACTGCAAAGGGATGTGGAGCAGCTATTGCTTTGCTTCTCAGCAAGTGGCTAAAGCAAGCAGAAATTATTTAACGTGAAAAGGGCTGGAGGGAACTACACTGTTGATCTGGGAGGACACAAGATGCTAACACAGCCGTTCTCTGCTCCCTGGAGTCTGAAGGGAGGGGTTGTAGCTCAGTGCTAGATCACACACTTTGCAGGCAGAAGGCCCCTGGTTTAATCCCTGATATCTTCTAATATGAACCTAGATGGACTCATGGTCTGCCTCAGTACCATAGAATCATAGAATTGCATAGTTGGAAGGACCACAAGGGTCATCTAGTCTAACCCCCTGCAATACAGGAATCTTTTGCCCAAGGTGGGACTTGAACTCCCAACCTTGAGATTAAGAATCTCATGCTCTACCAACTGAACTCTGTTTCTAAGTCTGGGATGGAGTTCCTGCTGCCATTCCTAGGAAGGTGTGATGTGAAGGGCACACACAAACTCATCAGCCTACGTTTCCTCTCATGAGAAATTATAGAGAGAATCATTCTATGTCAGAATGATGCGAAGGGGCCCTTGGAGAGCCTGAAGTGTTTTTAAAATGCCAGCTTTAATGCGATATGCAAAATAAAAGTCTGTTTATTATAGCCCAGCTATGAGATATTGAAGGCATTGTGTGAGTTATGAAACGGCCAAGCAACATCTCTAAACCCCTGGCGAGCATCATCGTTTGTAGTCACAGTGGTGCTATTTAGTGAAGTACTCTTCTGCATTGGTTAATAGCATTATATAAATACATTGTATTTATGTTTTTAATTATGGTAATGAAAACTCTGTTTCATAACAGCAATGTAGGGCAAGAATGTGCTCCCTTAAAATCGCAGTCTCTGCATGCTGCCATTTTAGAAGGGGTTCTCATTCTGTTATTTCCACAAAGCACTCAGGGCTTACACCCAATTTGTGTGATACGTGGAAAGGAAGGACTGCAGTCAAAATGGATGCCATGATTTGACAAGTGGGGTGGGCAGGCTCCACCTGGCTCCTTCAACACACAGAACCAGTGAACCACATACACTGGATAAATCATAGAATTGTAGAGTTGGAAGGTACCCCAAGAGTCATCTAGTCCACTCCCCTGCAATGCAGGAAACTCAGCTAAAGCATCCATGACACCCCAGTCCTCAGTATCAGCAGTCAAAAACTTATATACACTTTCCCTTAAAAAAAAGTATTGTAGAGGTTTATAACACTAATGTGCAGCAAAATATAAGATTAAAACAACAATAAATTACACAAATATAAGCAGGCTCAAAGCAGCAGCTGAAACCACAAAGGCAGAGGGTCTCAAGCATTCATTAAAAGCGCAAGAGTATAGGAAGGAGGACGCCGGACACCTAGGATATAGCAGAGGAAGAGCTAAACTAACCCATCTAGGGGAAAAGTTTCACCATTTGGGCAGAGGTGGAGCTAGCTGCTCTGGCACTCAGAGTGGTGCACATGCTGTGCACCTGGGGCGGGGCGAGCATCTCAGGGGGGGCGCCGCCCACGGCGAGCGTCCCAGGGGGCGGCGCAGCGATGTCACCCCCCTCAGGGATGATACCTGGGGAGAGCCTCACCCACCGCACCCCCCTTCCTCCGCCAGTGCATTTGGGTACTGCCAAAGAAGGGTCCTCCCCCAGTGGTCACTTAGGCATTACCAAAAAAAAGAGGACACCAACCTGCATAGAATTTGCAAGTGCTAACTTATACGTATAGGGGTTACTTTTGAAACAATTGCTTTAATTTAAATAGAAACCTTCTCACTGTAGCAGGGAAGATTGTGACCAATTGATCTATGTGCCTGCTCAGTCAGCTGCCCAAGTGCTACCAGTTGTTCTCACTGGACATGGGCACGACAGCCCTTCAAAAAGAGGACCCCTTCAAACAGAAGATTGTCCTCTGGCAACTCTTGAAATAGAGGACTGTTCTCTGCAATACTGGACATGCGGCCACTCTCCCCAGCCTGCCCTCCCACTTAACCTCTAGAGGCAGGAGAAGGACCTCTTAATAAGACCTTAACTGGCAGGAAATTCTGCATGAGGAAAAAGTGGTCCACCAGACTGAGGCCTGAAAGTTCAGATGGAGGAATATAGTGGTGGGAGACATTTCTACAAGCAAAGGTAAGAGAACAATACAACAGATGAGCTTATTTATCTGTGAATTGCAGAGAAGTTACTCCTTCCCATTACCTCCTATAGGTTGTTGTTGTTGTTTAGTCGTTTAGTCGTGTCCGACTCTTCGTGACCCCATGGACCAGAGCACGCCAGGCACTCCTGTCTTCCATGGTCAAACTCATGTTCATAGCTTCAAGAACAGTGTCCAACCATCTCGTCCTCTGTCGTCCCCTTCTCCTTGTGCCCTCAATCTTTCCCAACATCAGGGTCTTTTCCAGGGAGTCTTCTCTTCTCATGAGGTGGCCCAAGTATTGGAGCCTCAGCTTCAGGATCTGTCCTTCCACTGGAAAGAAAGAGGTCTCCAACTCCTTGAAATATTCCATCAACGGTGTCCCGGAAAATTTTTACATATCACTTGGAAAGACGGGCAAACTAATGCCAGTGTACTGGAAGAAGCAAAGATCACCAGCATCAAAGCAATGATAAACTTCGTTTCACTGTCATGTTGTTCGGACGCCTGATTACCGTCTTCCAAAGCAACTACTCTATTCCAAACTTAAAAATGGAAAATGTAATGCTGGTAGTCAACAAAAGAGGTTTAAAGACTCTATCAAGGCAAGAAGAAGAAGAAGAGTTTGGATTTGATATCCTGCCTTTCACTCCCTTTAAGGAGTCTCAAAGCAGCTAACATTCTCCTTTCCCTTCCTCCCCCACAACAAACACTCTGTGAGGTAAGTGGGGCTGAGAGACTTCAAAGAAGTGTGACTAGCACAAGGTCACCCAGCAGCTGCATGTGGAGGAACGGAGACGCGAACCCGGTTCCCCAGATTACGAGACTACCGCTCTTAACCACTACACCACACTGGCTCTCAAATCTTCAAAAATGTAGTATAAACACCAATTGGGAAACACTGGCCTGTGATTGCTCCAATTGGAGAACAGCCTTTGAAGATGCTCAAAATCAGGACGAAAGGGAGAAACATGCTAAGAGGAAAGAACGCTTGGCAAACCTTCACCATGATCAACTCCTGGAAACCTATGTCCCCATTGTGGAAGGACATGTGGATCCAGAATTGGCCTCCACAGTCACTTACTGACTCACTGTTAAGACCATGTTCATGGAAGACAATCCTACTCAGTTACGAGTGATCACCAAAAGAAGAAGGAAGAAGAAGAAGAAGAAATTGCTAAATAATAACTGAAAAGGAAGTACAGTTGCTCTATCTTGCCATGCTAGAAGAGCCAGTCTCCCATTTCTGCACAACTGTGGTGGAGGGAAGCCGTTTACAAGAAACTACATTTGCTTTAGGTTCCATATTTATTTATTTAGAATGTTCTCTGGTTCACATTCATAGCATGCACGCAGTAATTTATTATTATTTTTTAACTCCTGGAATGTTTCATTTTCACAGCAGGGCTGAGTAGAAAGTGGTGAAAGACAACAACAACAACAACAACAACAACAACAACAACAAATGCATTGCAATTCTTTGCAGCATGCCACTGCAGACCCCGAGCATCCAACTGATTTCGCAAGCATTTGAGGGCCAAAACTGGTAGGAGTGGTAAGCAGCGAAGCAGAAGATCAGATACCGCAGTGCCAGTAAGGAATAAGAAGGAAGGAAGGAGTGTGTGGGCTTTGAAGACAGACAGACAGACAGACAGACAGACAGACAGACAGACAGAGACAGATGGACACATATACTTTTTTTATTGTCATATGGAAAAGGACATAAACTCTTTTTTATCACTATCTGCAGTACAATCAGCTTTTCCTTTCCAATGACTATGAAAGGATGGGAAATAGTTTCCAAATATACAGCCCTTGCAAGCATCAAGGTTATTTATTTGTATACAAAATCCATATTGCATAGTGCATTATTAGATCACGCTACTGATTTCATTCGGCTGTATTCAGCTGAGGCAACAGGGACCATAGCAGAACAACCTGCAGTGAAATCAACCTGGGCTCTCTCAGGGCATTTGTCAGAGTAATTGTTCCCCTTGCTGGCAGGTAAATCAGTAACACAACCAGGAAGCAGTGACATTTCATTTGCACACTGAGACTTTTAATAAACAAAACCTGTAGCATTAAAGAAATCAGCATTGCCCAAATCTGTTCCTGATTCAAACGCCACGTCTACACCATGGAAATTTATAAGCAACATTTCTGTTGAATCTAATATGAAGTCTAGGGCAAAGCTGACTTGGATGGCTTCTAGGATTATGCACTTGTATTCCAGTCTTGGTTGATGCAGCATCAATGAGGGTTGTGTAATGCAAGCACCTGAATTTTCAGCAGCACCACAGCAGATCTGGACAGGCCAACTGTCCCTAATGTATCTGGATTCCTCATTCTGAGTCTACAAATTTCAGCACAGCTCAGGGAAAGAGAATATACTGTACTTTACTACAGACCCTCTGGTATTTCCCTCCACCTGCCACATTTGACATCTCCAACTGCCTGAGACTTGAGCTGTCTCATCATCACCATGTCAAACACACTTAAGACTTGTGCTCTGACCATTTCCTGTAACCATGACAGCAGCTCTCTCTCTCTTTTGTTTTTGCCATTGGCCCTCTCTTGTCATACTTGTCCTTGCCCCCAAACCCACTACCAAAACCACTCACCCTGAGCTCTTTCCTGAGCTCCCCCTGTGTCCATCCCAGATTTTTCAGGCAGGCCCCACAACCTTCCAACCTCCAAGAAAGGCCTTTCATGGGGTACAAGTTCAAGCCCCAGATATGGCCTCCCACTAGATGGGCAACCTCCCCAGATGTTGCTATATTCCAACTCCCATCAGCTTCAGTCAGAATAGGCAGTGGTCAGGAATGGTGGGATCTGTGGTCCAGCAACACCTGCAGGGCACCATGTTGGAAGTTGCCTATGTCATAGTATCAGCTGTTCACCCCCTTGCTGGGCACCCCCAAGTTGGACATGGCTTCACCTGTTATATGGCTGTGTGTCTAGCTGCTTGCAAAGGTACCAGAACCAGCTGGAACAAGAAAGCTGGCAATTCTACAGAGGAAGAGGAAGACCTGAAATCACACTGCTGGCTGTGTTGGTTTCTGCTTTCCTTCACTGTGCAGCAACTGCAGTCATGAGACAGGTGTTTACATTCCACTGTCTGTACTGTTGGAGTTTCTCACGGGAAAGGGAGACTGGATGTGACGTACACTGGTTTCCTGTTATTCACTGTCTGTGTGATTCTCTCCGAGCTGAGAGAGGAGAGAGGATGCATTTTTCTGCTCCTGCAGAGGCAAGATGTCTTTCTGTA